AATTCCTATATTATTAAAATGAATTTTGAACCCAGAAAAATAATACATTCCAACAGCTTTCTCAAATGCAAACTCAAAGTGAATTTTAAGATCATAAAAAGAAATCAGAATAATTCTCAGAAAGCATGTCAAACGCAACCTAGGCTCTTGTAAGTAGTAAAAGCTGCAAAAAGAGCGTTAGCACTTATTTAGAACAGAAAGAAAGATAAAAAGTAAAGGGATACAGCAGGGGGAGGGGAGCAGGTTTGCTTTGCAGTTTGCACTCTCCCCCTACTTGCATATATGTAGGACTAGAGAATACTTTGAAGTGAATCGATTCAAGTGTTGAAATATTAATTTTATTCTGTTTGTACTTTGTTTTCAGTTTCAATCTGAATTCTGAAAAAAAGAACTGAACAAAGGGTGTGGGTTTTTCTTGGATGGGTTGTCCTTCTTTGCCCTTACATACAGGAAGACTGTGGATTCCTTTACAATTGAATTAGTTCTAATTTGGGGGATTTTATTTTCTGAAATGGAGAAGCATGAAATGAAGAAGAAAAAAGTAGATCAACTATAGAAAGGAGTATAGGTTGGTTTAATTTACTTTCATCATTGTCAAATCCATAGAACTAATTCAAGTGAAGTGTTAAATTTCAAATGCATTTGTAGAAAGGGACCCCATGTTTTGGCATATATGACATGTGTACCCTTCTTCCTAATAGTCGGTATCTACAATTTCAAGCCTACAGAATTATTGGGGAATATCTTGAAACTCGGGTCTGGGGCTACAAGGACATGACTCATGGACCAATCTTCTTCTTGATTCCTCAAAGCAACATGGGGTCCAATATCCCAATAACGCACCCTTGTGTGTCCCCCTTCATGAGAGAATACGACAAACTGTAGAAATCAACTATACCAAAAAATTTAGGAAAAAAAAAAAAAAAAAACAGCCTGAACTGAAATGCAACACCAACCAGTGTTGTTCACTTTTAATTGCAAATTGCAATACCCATGTGAAAGGTGAAATTTAATATAGCGTTTTGTTATAATTGTTGGAATGTTCCTTAATGGCATAGATATCAGATCAGATGGCTATAGCTAAAGTTAAATGGCATCTATCTATCTATCATGCTGGATTTTTTTAATATAATATGTTATAGGGACCCACCCAACAGCTTCGGGTTCTAAGTCCCCAGGGCCCAAGATAAAGATAAGAGAGGAGAAAAAATCAAAAATTTTGCTCCGTCGTATGGACTTCTAATTTTCCACGGCGAATGTTACAGCCGCGTTTCTTGTTTTGTTAAAAAATGCTTTTGGCAGCACAGTAAGCCATAAATAAGATTGATTCTAACGATGCACGGATTCAAATATATAAGAGCAAAGAATGAAATACTACGTACCCCCTTTTGTTACTGACTTTTGAATTTGGAACCAAAGCTATGGTTTTAAAAGGAAATAGCTTTTTTGTTTTCTAAGGTACAGTACAGTAACTCAGTAAGTATGGGAGAGGTGAGGGGAAACTGGAACTCCTTTGTCCTTACTTAGCAAGCAATTAACATATCTATTATGAGTTGTGGGAGTGGGACCCAACAGCTTTGTGAGCTTTGAGATGGAACTTGGTTGTGATTGTGATATGTAGTTGTTGAGGATAAGAAAGAAGAGATATTTTGTAGGAGTCGATTGGGCAATGTTCAAATCAGTCATCCCTCACAACGTCCCACATTATACTCTTACTGTGTATTGAAAACATCTTCATATGAGAAGAGATTAAATCAGTCCCCTACAAGATTGTCCCTGACAATGTCCCACAGCATATCTTGGTTGTGTATGGAAACATCTCCCGATAATAATCTCAGAAATGATGATATTATCATCGGAAGATGTTTCCAATACATGACGAGGATGTACCGTGAGACGTTATATAGGCGGCAATATTTTAGGGGACAAATTTGAACTCAAAATGATAATATTATTATTTCTGATATTATCATCGGAAGATATTCCCGTTACACGGTGAGATGCACTGTGAGACGTTGTGGGGGGCTGATTTTATCTCAATGTTAGTGGTAAATAGAGGAGGTAGTTTCATGAATATGAATGACTGAAAAAGAAAGTGTTGTTTCTTTTCTCCGTCTACTCTACATTCAGGTGGCCCCGCCCCGGGATGGAACACCTGCCACTGACAGTGCCACTCAGTCCGTGGCGCTCTCTCTTTCCTTTTTCATTCTCTCTGGGCAAATTTACATGGGACCCACCAATTCAGGTGGCTGCACCACCGTGCACCGGCAACGCGTGCGTTTGTGTCGGCACCCCGGCCCCTTCTCTCTCTCTCTGAGCTTTTACTTTCAGCATGACATGAGCGCACTGAGCAGTTGAGGTTGCAGGTTTGAGGAGTTCTTTCCCTCCCGAGTCCCAAGTGACCCAAACCCATATTATTACAAGCTAGTAAAGACAATATTATGCACATGCACACAAGCATTAATCCCAGAAATCAGAAATTGCATATAACACCACTGATTTTGGGTTCGAGAGACTGGATCGTCCAATAAATAAATTGTTATCTTGTTTATATCTTAAAAGTGACGGCCTTGACAAAAAATAAATAAATAATACTTCTTGCTTTTTTAGGAGATTGCCTTCATTAAATGGCTAATTCTTCAAGAGATCAAAAAGATTGGATATTTAGGGCTAATCCATCCACATGCCAGGATAGAAAAGCAAGTACACAGAGAAGAATCATATGACTCGGGTTTTTTTTTCATTCCTTTTCCCATGATTTGTTTTACTATATATTACTTGGTTTCTAGGCATAACGTACAAACAATGTAACTCTTGAAGAGATATGGTTGGATGAAATGAACTAGAATCTCTCTAAATTTATATTGGCATGCAGAAGAGGCTGACAAGCATCTTTGTAGGATAAGGATTCCCTCTAAACTTGTCCGGCATCATTCATTCGTTCATTCTACCAATTTATTTTTATTAAATTAGATGAAAAAAGGAAAAATCTATGATACCGGAAAGATATGGTATCGATAAATTTTGACCAATTAAAGCAGCTCGGTGAATTTTGTTTAATACCATTTAATTGGTCACCTCTATTATGATGCTAATTGATTGGTTGTAAATTTTTTTTATATTATGTTTTTCCGGTATCATAGTCTAAACCCCCCAAAAAAAAAGTTCTTTTTATGAATTATAACATTTGTTTGTAAATATTAAGGTTCCATTTGGGAAAGCACAAATGCCAGTTGAATGCATAAATGTGTTATGATTTAGTTTCTCGTGTTCATAAAATTATATATTTAAAGTGACAATTTTCACAAATTTTAAGGCATATTTATTATATCCAAAATGGGAGAAAAGTTTGCATCTAAAATATGGATGCAAACTTTGAATTCAGAGTTGATCAATGTTAAAAAGGCATATTTCAATCTCCAGATTTATGTTTTGCATCCATTACAACTAAAAATCATTTAGCAATAAAGTAAATTTATCAATGCAAAATTAAACCAAATTTTCATTTGAATGGACCAAAATGCACTCTACATATTTGTATTTACACTCTTCCCAAATGGAGCCTTTGTGACATAGCATAAGACCGAGATAGTCTGAATTGTGGATTATGGATGGCAATTTTTCCTATTCCCATACGTAACCTCCCCAACCCAATTGGGTCAAGGATGAAGACTTTCTTCACAGGATGAGGTAGATTAATAAGGATGGAGTGGGGAGTGAGTGAAGTCTCCACCCCACTCTAAACCTAATTATATATTAGATATTATTTATATTAAATATATGCATATATTAAAATATATTTAAAATGTTATTATTTTAAAATTTTTATTTTAAGCAAAATCTTTTCTTAGAAAAATTTTTAATTAAAAGAATATAGAGATTTAGATCCTCAATGGAGAACCTATTTACATCAAGGATCAGGGATGAGGTTAATTTTTACCCTAATATGGATTTACTTAAAATTCAAAATCAAGGATGAGAAATATGATCACCACACCCCGAACCTAGTCCATTGCCATTCCTATTGTGGACTTAGTTGGGAACCCAAAATCTAGTGGTCAAGATTTATGAGGTGTTTTAGGATTGATGATGATTCTTCTATGAGATTCTCATAAATCATTGCTTTCTAAAATCACTAATTTCTCAAAAAAACAAAACAAAAAAAAAAGTTTATTTGATATCATTGCTGCCATGTCAGCCAATTTCTTAAAAATAACAATGATTTTTGTATAGAATTATCTCCCCTATCTACCTTAAATGCCACATCATCCAAAAAATCAGAATCGGCCTAAAGTGATGATTCCTCTTCTTAACCCGATTTTAATAATCAAAATTCCTGACCCATTTGCTGATTTCTGAGAAATTGACCAATCAAACAATAAAGTAATCAGCGAGTTTTCGAATCACTGACGTGTTACCACCGATTTACGAGAAATCGGCATCAATCCAAACACCACCTTAAGTTTTGCCATCGACCCAAATACCACACCACCTTACAGCTGCCCTAAAAATAATACAGGTCTTCATCATCATCTCTGTTTCCGGACTATTGCAACCTCCAAGATGTACCCCACGTCCCGTACGGACAACATCAATGAACCAGACCATCATGGCCAACTCTTAGAGTCCCTTAAAAAAAAGTGAAATAGAAAAAAAAAAAAAAAAAAATCCTCAAACTGTCTCCCTCCCCATATGAACATGAATGTTTAGTGCATGCATATAAAATATTTAAATGTATTCGTACATTATTGAGGCAACTGCTGATGGGGATATAGAATTTCTGGGTGCATGTGATTCATCTTGGCAGGCTAAGCTGTCCTTTTGATGATTGTCTGGAGCAGTGTAAGGCTCTGTCAAGTGTGATCTGAACTATACCTATTATAATAATAATAATAATTGGAGGAGTTTTTAGTTTTATTTTTATATTTATTAAGCAAATATCTTTTTATCTTTTGCTGGACCTGTCCCAAGCATCTCCTCCACATACCTTGAATCATATTGGCTATTGCACTGGGATTTGTTTGGCATGCCTCAAATCCCAAATACAATAATACTTTCCTCTCACTGTGACAAAGAGAATCTTAAATTCTTCATCCGTTATTATTTTATTTTTGCAGCCTATACTTAATTCGGAATGTGAAGAAGAGGTGTTGTTTCCTCCAAGTAAGCTGTGGTTGGAGACTTGGAGTGGGTTTGAGCAGATAATTTGTCGTGTTACTCTCACCTGGAGGAGTTTGGAGTTCTTCCATTCTTCCCTTTTTCTTCTTCTTCTTCTTCTTCTTCTTCTTCTGAGTATCAAAGTACTGCTGTTGGTTCATCTTACCAACTGATGAGACTCCAGAGGTCAGGATAAATACTTTTCATTTCTTTCTCTTCCTGGCCTCTTGTATTTGGTTTTAGTTGTAGAGGATTCCAGGATACAGTATAGTTTTGTTTGCTCTGCCTTACTTGATCCTGCCTATTCAAAAAATTATCCTTCTGTTACTGAAATCCTAGAGATCTGTACAAAGATTTTTGTTTTGAATAATTCAATCAATAGTCGTAGAGCTCTGTTTTAATCCCTATAAATAATTGACGTTTTGATACCCAGCAAGCTATAGAGGTTCCATTAAATTGGACAGTTAGGTTCTTTACTTTAATAGGAACTGATATTATGTTTTTGAATTATATGCTTGCTTGTTTTCACAATAGAAGAAGTTTCCCATTTCGATTGCTTTTCAGAACCCCCAAACCCTCGAAAGTTGCAGACACTTCGTGTTCACATAGTGTATGTTATGCATTACTGATTACAGAAAGTACGAAAGTCTGATAGAAAATTGACCTCTGATGAATGGCTGTTTGCTTTTGTTAATAGCTTTGCTTATTTAGCAGGGATGGGAAAAACAATATGGACTTATATATTAATAAGGGTTTAAACTTGAGATATAGACCCTTTAATCGCACATCATTGAGCATTCTGTTTTTTGTTGTTATTGATCTTAAAAATTCCAATACATGAAAATTATTAGTACTCCCTCAGATGAAGCTACTGAGGAAAAGGCAAAGTGATGTAAATTCCTAGAGTTAAGAAGGCGAAGTGGCTTTGCAAATAGAAATTTAAGCATAGGACTAAGCAAGATGGTTGAGCATTGAATACAGAGACATCATCAAGAGCCTTCTGTTTATTGGAGTTGTTTAACTTAAATCTCATTTAGAAAATTCCTCTGCTTCTCTTTGTTTCAGAAAAAAAAATACCCGAGACTAGATTCTTGTATGTGACACCCCAGAGATTGTTAAGCAAATGAAAGATATAACATGTATAGAAATAAATAGTAGCCAGATGGAATGAGGTACCCTTAGGACTCAGAAAAATGGAAAGTTGGAAGCTCCATCCTGACAATATTGTCAAGAACTTGAATCTGACATTTTACCAGTAATTTGGCACTACATCTCAGTCCTCATAGTCTCTGGGAGTCATGATCATGAACCGCCCTCAACTTGATAGTAGGTGTACCAGAAAAAGTTTGAGTCATCACAGTAGTTACGCCTATTTTTTGCACATGATATTCTATTCCTTATTCTAGCCATTTAGGTGAAAACTCTGTTTTTTATAATTCATCAACATATTATGATCCTTCCATTGACAAGAAAGGCATTATTATGTATTTATTCTTAATAAGTTAGGTGGAGTTTTCCAACCACTGTAATTCACTTCCGCTAAGACCTGTAAATTTGATCAACCAGATTAATATCTTCAAATGTTTGACAGGTGTAGGAGCTATTACTAGGGGTTGTATGCTGTCATCTTATAAATATTCAAGGTGGAGGTGCATATATGAAGAATACTTCTCTGGATTGAAACGAGAACAAGTCGAGTTGCTCATTCTGATTTTTCTCGTGAATAACACGGTCGGGAAAAGGGAGAAAATTAAAAGGACTGATTGGAGTTCAGATGGAGAGGATTCTGAGGCCTTATGATAAGGAATCCATGAAAATGGTCATGCTAAAGCATGAAAAGACATTCAAAGAGCAGGTATTCCAAATCTGATCCTTTATACTTCCTCCTTTCTCAGCTGTCCATTCTCTAGCCCAATAATTCTAAGCTTGAGGATGATCAATCATGCAGCTATATGAACTCCATCGTCTATATCAGATTCAGAAGATGTTAATGAACAACGTGAAAAGCAGTACTGGGCCTGCTAGATATGGATCAAACAGATGGAATGTAGAGAATGACAACAATGTGAGTCGGGTTAATTATAGTCGTAAAGAACAACAGAAGCCACGAAGGCGACTTGACCTGGAACAACCAGCTGCCGAAGACTGCAATGTGGACGAAAGTGGAGGAGGAGATGGAGTGCTAGAGAAGGAAGATGAAAGTGATATTGAGCTAACTTTGGGCCCCACGGTTTACAATCTAAGGAAAAAAGACGAGGCACCACTAACTTCAGATTCTGGACCAAGTTTTTCTTCTTCTTCCACTGAATCAAGTCATATGAAGAGGACAAATACTGGGACCCAAAACGGGATTTATACAACAGAAGAGCTAACAGGCCACAAGTGGGGGCTCGTTCAACTTCCTGACACGCATTCAAGTTTCCAAAGCCAAAGGAAGAACACTTTTGGTGTTGAAGAACATATGAGACAAGAGAAACTAAACATGAACAGGCCTCCTTGGCTTTACCATGTTTTCAGCCTGAACCTGACTTAGGCATGCTTGTTGGTTTAAGCTGTTTCTGATCAACTAATTCATGACTGCTGTTTGTGTGAAGTTTTTTCTTTTTCTTTTTTTTCTCTTTTCTTTCAGCTTCCACCGTAGTGGATGATGAAGTCTTTAAAAAGAAAAAGGGATAGAAGCTTAGCAAGATATATATAATTGCAAGTGTATTTCAATCAAATTCAAATTTGAAATCTCAAGTACCCCATTACTGTGCACCCCTAGAAGAAGTGATCTGCTATAAGTTGAGGGGGCTAGAAGAGTACACTAGTACTGGGAGCAGACGAAAAAGGACTTGGCCTGGTAGAAGTAGTAAATTGTTGATGGATACGGCACTAAGTAGTAAGACTATATTCGGATTGAATCCAGCTACATTTGCATTCAATCCTATTATTAAACATTTGGATCTGAATCTGATCCAAAATACAAAATGTCAGATTCGGATCTTATTCAAATTTATTCCACATCCGACTTACTGTGCTTAAAATGACAGAAAATTTATATATATAATTGTATTTAATATAAAATGTTAAATTTATCAGTTATAAACTTTATATAAGTGTATTATATACAATAATTATTATTATTATTATTAGTTTTTAATCGGACTCGAATTTTAATTGAATGATGGGATTAAGTCCACATCCAACCTAATTATTAATTGGATGCAAGTTATAACATCCAAATCTAAGATATCAGATTCAGTGTCAAATTGAGTATTGAATTTTTAGAGTCCATTCCCATAGTTGTGAAACCCTACCCCGAAGCCTTGTTTTGCTTCAGTTCTCTCTCATCTTTCTACCATCACTAATAGGGTGCAATTTTTTCGGGTTAGGGTTGGGATTTTCTCAAAATTTTTTCGGGTGAACCGATTTATCTTCTTGAAGAAGTGCTTGAGAAATCTTATTACGTTTTTCATTGGGCAGTGGTTGGTAAGTGTATGCATGGCCATCCACCTCTGCCAGATAGCAAGGAGTTCATTTGTAAAACTTTGAGCTTGAAGAACGTAACAGCTCTTGACTCTAAACACATCTTGATTCGATTTGTTAAGGAGGAGGATTTTCTGAAGATATGGATGAATGAGGCTTCTAAAATTAAATCCTTTCTATTTTGTTTATTCAAACGGATGCCTAAGTTTTAACCTGGTTGGGAACCCTCAATTGTTCAAGTCTGGATCAGTTTTCTATTTTTATCAATGAATTTTTATGTTGAAGGTTTGCTTCGTTCAATTGCTTTGGCAGCTAGACCAGTTCTCAAGTTTGATTAGGCGACTGTAACTTTAACTAGAACGACAACGACTAGGGTTTGTGTGGAACATGATCTGCTCGAGCATCATCCCAGTAGGTTATGGATTGGTACTGGTCGTGATGGATTCTAGCCAGAGGTCGTATATGAAAACCTCCCAGAATATGTGATAACTACTACAAGGTTGGTGTCATTCAGCAACGCCTTGTAAACACAATAAGGCCAATAAACATTCTAGTGATAAGAAGGATCGGATGAAGGTAATAAGGAGAAGTATATTACTGATAAAGAGGCAAGAAGGTAATACTGCAATATGCTCCCATTTCGGAAACAACACTAGTGTTGAATGAAACTAGCCAAAATGCAGTCTCGACTGGTGAGGTTTCTTCTAAAAACCCTAGTGTTAACCCGGGAGATGGAAATACACAAACAGTACAGGTTTTTATGCTTCTTTGTCCGATCTTGTGATCACTCCTCCTGATCAGGTTATTTTTGAAAACCCTAGATTTGAAGAGAAAACCCAAGACTCTAACAAGGTACAGGTGGCTTCAGATTGAAAAGATGAGGTGCCGAATGTTTTGACTGACCATACCACTACTATGGATGCTGCGATTAATTATCTGAAGTTGAAAATACATTATTATTGGAGAAGATGGTGAATTCCCAAGGCCGATCTGATATTCAAAGCCCAAAAGGTGTTCGAAGAAATGCTAACATAGAACCAAAAATGGTACAGCTAGATCAGAACATAGAAACAGATGTTGCTATATGTTAAGGAAGTTTTAAGGCAATTGAGGTCGCAATTATTGCAGCCATTTAGAATTAAGAAATAGAAGCACAAAGGGGATCTACGCAGGTACGTGTTCGGATCTACAAACTCTGCCCATTTTATTGCAGCCATACATGGAAAATATTTCAACCTCTGCATAGTATTATGCAGGGGAGATGTTCCCAATTCACGGGGTAGTGTGTTGTGGGTAGACGTGGGCAAAGTTCTCGTGGGCAGGAGATCCGGAGTCTGGTCAAAGGCCAAAACTTGTTCTACGTACCCACCATGATGGAATTTTGTTGGGATGATTGGTGTTTGGTTTTGGAAAAAATGTGCAAGACTAAATTAGTAGATCTCATCATTATAAAGTTCAATGGAGCCCCAAAACAAGGATTAAAGTATCGGTATCAAGTAGGAATGGCAATGGGGCGGGGCAGGGATGGGGAGCCTCTCCTCATCCCCGTTCTTGCTAATAGGGACAAGGTTATTCCCATACCCGTCCCTGCTAATAGGACAGGGTTATTCTCATCCCCGTCCCCACGATATCCCTATTCCCCGTGATTTTTTATAATATTAACAATTTTGTTTTTACCTTTTATTTTATTTAAAAAATAAAAATAAAATAATTAAAATTTACAATCCTATTAGAAAAGATTCAAACATATTCAACCATATTTTTAAAAATATTAATATATAGATGTATGTGTACATATATACATATATATTAGTGGGGATCCCATGGGGCGGGGGGCATCCCCGCCCCGTCCTCATAGGAGGAAAATCATCCCTATCCCCACCCCATTCGGGGCAGATCCCCATAGGTATTAGGGAAATGGAGAAAATTGTCATCCCTAGTGTCGAGTATCATACCAGACAACTTGAATACAAATATAGATGCGTTTTGAAAATGCATGGATATTGATGAAAAATATGGATGCGTTAGGGAAACACATAAAATTTTCATAATACATTAATAATATTAAATTTAAGGTCAAATAACCATAAATAATGTATAAATACATAGAAAATGTATATTTTAATGGTGTATATGAAAAAAAATATATTACAATTAATATAATATGATGCATAGATATAATACAATTTTATTGATAATGTATCAATCAAGAGTCCACAATGCAAAACGTATTTTCCTATTATATTTTAATTATTATATCAATTATTTTCAATTTACTATTTTTACATTAACAAAGATGTCAACCAAATATTAAAATCTTTATATAAATTAAAATATCTATTAATAATTTATAAAATATATAATCTCAACTTAAAATATGTCAAATCTATTAAAATTTCTAAGATACATATCATATGCAAATTCATAATTTTTAACTTTTAAAATGATTATTCCATTTTTATATTTTTATTCCTATAATTTTTTAATTAAAAATCTTTTTTTGGTATAAATGTATATTAGTAGATTTGATAGATTCAGTTTAAGATTATATTTTTTAATATTTTGTAAACAGTGGTTTTACTTTCTAAATAATAAATATGATTTTATGTAATGTAAATTAATATATATATATAATCTATTAAAATTTCTAAGATACATATCATATGCAAATTCATAATTTTTAACTTTTAAAATGATTATTCCATTATTATATTTTTATTCCTATAATTTTCTAATAAAAATCTTTTTTTGGTATAAATGTATATTAGTAGATTTGATAGATTCAATTTAAGATTATATTTTTTAATATTTTGTAAATAGTGGTTTTACTTTCTAAATAATAAATATGATTTTATGTAATGTAAATTAATATATATCATGTGCAAATTTATAAATTTTAAGTGCTAAAATAATTATACTCTTCTTAATATTATATTTTTATAATTTTTTTGAGATTCAAATAATATTATGATATAAATGTGGATTTGATATATTATTTATTTCTATTATTTTATAAAATATTGATATTAAGTATTATTTTTTAATTTTTAGTTGGAATTAACCGTTATATATTATTTATTTGAATTGCATTTAAGTAATAAAGAAATAAAATCTGTATTTATTTACTCATAAACACAAAAGATGGAGTAGTGCAGTGGCTTATAGGTGCGGATGTTAAGCTCTCCCTTAACTCTTGATGTGGGTTCGAATTCTTGCAATTTTCTTTTTCAATAGAAGAGTATGTGCATGAGCATTGATATTTCAATCCTTGCCCCAAAGTGACACATATAATGGCTATTGGATATGTATAACCACCTCTACAAGGATAAGTAGTAGCAGTAGTGATAATCCAATTGAAAACGATACATCCAAAGAAGAAAAAGAATTTCAAGTCTAAGGAGGTCTAGATGACATCTTAATCAGAACTAATTCGAAAATCATAAGAACAAACAAAAAGGCTATCATCCCCGTTATTCTTGATTTTATTTTTATTTTTCTTGGTTTTTTGCTTTTTTTGTAAAGGTTGTTGCTCCTTGTATAGTTTTGAGGGTCAGATTTTATGCCCCTTTTATGATCATTAATATATTCTCTCTTTTTAAAAAAAAAATGAAACGTATGAAAAAACATTTGGACCAATCCACCTCCACATGAAAAAAAATGTAGCCAACCCCATATAAATGAAATATCTGATTACTATGGTTATAGAAGTCACTTAGATGGTCAACTGGCAAACTGTATCTGCACTCTGCATCAATTTCAACTCAATTAATCTTTTAGTCCAGTAGTAAAGGAAAATGAGATTCACGGGCTGGCATTCTTGGTCCTTGATTTCCTTGAGGGTTTGATAACAGATCTCTGTTTTCTTAGGTTGCAAATGTATGAGGTTTTTTGTGTGTCATGTACCCAAAAAAAGGGTTTTTTTTTTTCTGATTTGGAGATGTTTGGAGAGAGACATATTAATGAGGTTGTTTAGCGGACTAAAGAACTTACGATTAATAGTTGTACGTTTGACCTTCTCTTTCTACGTTCTTCGGTTTCGGACAATCACTCCAAGAATCAGAATTGCAATCAATAATCAGAAGTAGAAAATGCTTGTTCCTGCTGCTCCACAAATATTAACTATGAACAGATTTACCTTCCATGGAATTAGATCCCTCGGTAAAGTGAAGATAATTCCTAGTAAAAGTAAAAGTAAAAGTAAAAGGCATTTGCATGTATTAATTATGAATGTGGAGTTACATAGCAACTTTAGTCTTTAACTCTGTATGTTTAAGTGAGGTGAGGTGGGGAAAAAACACTTTACATCTGTGGAATGTGGACAAAACTGTTTCTTTGTACAATTATTTTGTTTGGCAGACTGGATGAACGGATTTCAGTGGACATGCTTTTTTGGATTCAATTATGATTGTCAGTGTCCACAACCTGATCAAGCACACTCTCCTGTCCCTCGTGCAAACCCACTTTTTCAAAGGCTTACAATTATTCATGGACAGACCCTTCGCTTTGCTCTGATGCCATACTTACTCTCTCTCTCTCAGCATTCAACATTTGAAAGATTACAATGTGAAAAACGAGCTTTTGGAAAATGGGAAGAAGTTTCCGAATAATTGGCAATGGTGTGATTTCAAGACATTTTAAGAAAGAGATCACATCTGCACTCCACAAATGCCCTGTGAATTGAAAACACCTCTCGAAATTATCAGTGGGAGATATTCTTAATACACGATTGGGATACGCTGTCGGTGTTTGTGAGGCACAGATATGAATTCTTTGAGAAAGCAATTAACCACATGCGTATTGTATCTTCTTGGTTTTGAGGTTATTCTATTTTCAGAACTCACTGAAAACAGAATCAACCACTTTAACAACCCATCAAAACAAAAATCAGCTGGCATGCTTCCGGTGACATTAATTTAGTGTTTGTTTGGCATCATTGCTGTTGCTCCTGAAAACGGTGCCACATCAGAGCTACATCAGAAAAAACAGTGCTCCAGGAAATAGGTGTTTGTTTGGAACTATTTTTTCATAAAAAAATGGTGATCTAAGCCATGCCTTGGAAATTGGGAAGGCATGAGCAACGCCGATTTTGGCATTTCCTGCAGTTGCAGCTCGTTGCTGCCAATAGGTACCGGTGCTGAAAACGTTTTCTGGAGCGTTGGTACCAAACAGCAAAACGTTGTTATTGTACCTGGCATCAACGTTTCCAAACAAAAAAAAAAAAGATACCGTTTTCTCAGAAAACTGTGCTTCTAACCCACACATCAGCAGCACCATTTTTTGAGACGACGATTAACTTGTTACATGGATTTAAGGAATCAAACATCATTGTAGGTATATGCAAACATGGTACATGGTGATATTAATTTAAGACTCTGTACTTGAGCACAATCAAACCTTAGGGATCACATGGACGTAGAATTTATATACAAAAGTTGGACATTACTTTTAACTTTAAAACTTGAGCGATTAGGTTATGGGTCAATCATTGTTATAAATCCTTATTACTCTCAGTCCTTATCAATGTGGGACTCCTCTTCACTCAAACATTAATCACATGTAAATCCCAACAATAAATTTCACAAGAATTCAATTGCAAATATAGGAAAAAAAAACATCTTATAAAGGAAAGGAGATTGCTACCTCTCTCCCTTCCCGGTCATCAGGATTAAATTTACTGTAATAGTGTGCTTTGATGCAATCAACTCTACTCACCTATCGATCCTATATTTTCTAGTTTCCCCATTTCATCCATATGTACAACCATGTTTACTAGAATAGAGTTGATGAGGAAGATAAAACAGTCCTCTTCTCTGCTCAAGCATTTGAAACAAGGACATAGAGACAAAACACTCTAAATTAAGCAGCATACGTTGCAGCACAAAGGAGGATAGGTGAATCAAGAGACGGAATGCCGTCGATTTCTGCTGGGCTTTGTCCGACCTTTTCCATCAGAAGACTTCACTCCCTCTCCACGCATGAAGGGGTACAAGCGCCCAAGCTTTTTAGACATGGAGCTGATAAATGATTTTCGAGGCAATGCCAATGGAGGCTTATCTACAGATGGTATTGGTGGAGTACTTTCAGGTGGATTGATTTCTCCTGATTTCTCCAGTTCTTTTAACCGCATCCGCATCTTCACCAATTCCATCTTCAGGTCTTCATTTTCTCTTCGTAAGCTCAAGAGCTCATCAGGAGCTGAGTGGTAATCTTTAGAATGCAAATTCATTTTCTGCAGAGCAGGAGATTCTGCACCCATGAGGTTGTCACTCATAGCATCTCGTAGGCGCCTCTGCTCGTAGTAAAGAACCTGGACCACGATTTGCACAGGGAGGCGATCATTCTGAGCTGCATGAGCACATGCTTCCCGTGATAGTTTCTGACAGTCCATCAATCTGCAAACCTTCTTCCTCTCCATGTCAGTCAGTGCAGGATGAGCCTGCAAATTACGAATGATAAGGGTGATCGTTAGAAGAAATTCTATTTAAAATGTCTATTTATACATCCCAACTGTTTTCTTTCTTGATAACTGCAATCTAGTAAGTACAGAATTTTAAGATGAGAAAAATAAAAAAGCACAGGAGAGGATTTCATCACAAACCTTCAAGTATATGTCTATGGCACGATACATTCCATCCTCTATTACCCTTGTTTGTTCTGGGATCAACTCTGCGAGATTGGTGAACTTTGAAACAGATAGATTACGGTCTGATGCTATCTCGGCGAGGAAGCTCTCCATTAGCTTTCCAACCCGCTCAATATCTCTTGAAGGGGAAACATATTCATCATCTACCACGTATCCCAGACGAGTCCCGTCCATTTCATATTCAAGGTAGTTCATCATGATCCGCTGCACTGTGTCTACATCAAACAATGTGTCTCCTGTGAAGGAAAAAGAAGGTATCAAGAGATCATCCAACACTGCTTGTCCAAGCTGCAGGGCCAACCTCTTCTCCAGATCAATCCGGCAAGCAACTGTTGTCTCAAGATAAATTGCTGCACGTAGCAACATAGAAAGGAAGCTAACAGACATTGCATTCTTCTCCCTTGGCAGAAGACTCACAATGGTCTCCAACACGACCCTCTTCTCGTGTTCTTGCTTTGGCTCAAAATTTTTCCTCCCCCTCCCAAATATTTCCTGCGCCAAGATTTCGAATCAGGTACGTGGGAGAAGAAAAGAAAAACAACATTAATTGGGTTTTCGGAGTGGTTTCTCACCAAACCTCGAAGAGATTTCTGTGCGTAGATCATAAGTATTGGACCAAGTGAATACTGCTTAAAGCCTCTCGCCAGCATTGCCATTAGAACTCGATGGAAGATATCAATCCTGAGAACTGTTAAGTCTTCAGCCCACCAGTCTACAATGGGTTTAAGGTGAGATCCTGAATAAGAATTGATACTCTCGTGTCTAGTCTCTGTCCTTCCGGGCAAACAGAATTGGCTCTCCTTGTAGGCAAGGTATGCCACAGCATCTATGCTTCGGCTAACCAATTTGACCTTCTCTGCCGTTGGAAGGAGGTTCTCCGACGTATGCAACACAGAGATTGCCCCGGCAAGGCTCTTCAGTGCCACTTCATTCAAGTAGTCCTCTGTTCTGCCCACTAGGTTCCCAACAGCATAGTCCTCTGTCATCTCGAGATACTCTGCCACGCATCGAAGCGTGGCAATATTCTCTGTACTAATCTCAAAGTTTATCCCATAACAGAATTTTGCAGCCAGTTCAAACGCCTCCTCCCCACCTGGAACATCAGGGAGTTCAACGACAGAGACATCGGCATCACTATCTTCAGAGACCAATTTCCTTATGTATCCACACTTGGACACCAACGGGAACTGCAATTGAAGTTAGCAACGAATGAAATTGAATTCAACTCTACTCTAAATTCACTAGCAAGGACAGATTATGGTCACTGCTCTAGGGTTTGCTTCTGGTTCAGTCAATTCGATCGGTAACTCCTTAAGTTTTAATTGTTGATTCGTTAAAACCAGATATTGCTAAAGTTGTCAATATCAAAATTTCAGAAAGAGAGTAGAAAGGAAAAGACTGAAGCTACCTTGTGCAATGAGAAGGAGGCTCCTCCAGCATGAACCGTGATATCGCTTGGGATCTCTTGGGAGAAAATCCTGTTCGAATTCAAATTGACCATCTTCAAGATCTTTCTTTGTAATTATCTTTGCAAGAAACCGTTCATTCCCCTAGATAAAGCGACAGTTTGAAGCATCCAAAGAAAACTATGGAAACTGCAAAAAAGAAGAGGAGAAGAAGCAAACCATTCACTCGTTCTCTCCATAGCAGTGGAGAATAGATGTCTGTTTGTCGAGGACATATTAAACAGCTATAGATACAACTTCCTCTTGATCAAGCTTCAACATATCTCTGCTGACGGCAAAAAAACAATGATATCTTCTTGTTCTCGTTCTCGATCGTATCTCTACAAGATGGTTTTAACAGGAAGAAGCAGATATCGACAGACTGAGAAGCAGTTCCTTTTTAAAATTGTGTTGAAGCACAGCAATCCATGCCTTGTTCCTAGTTTGTTAATTATTTGATTTCTTTGTTGTCTTGTTATTCTTCTGCTATTGATATTGAGAGCTGAGACGAGTGAAGCTTTTAAACAAGTGATGTAACACAAACAGAGCCTTCCAACTGTATAATAATTGAATTATCATCTGTAAGCATGTAAGCCAACCAAGAGAAAGAAAAACAAAAAAGGACAATCACGCTCAGTAATAAATTCACCCAAACTAACCTTCACCTTTTTAGAGTGGGCTAATTAATTGTAATCGACCATCTTTTCACAAGGTTAGGAAGTACGTGAATGCAAGTATTGGATAGGGATGCAGTACTTGGCATTGTGTGGTGGGCGAATTCGGATTTAGTCCGAATGCAAGAAGTGTATTGATATTTAGATGTTCTAAATACATCATGAATGCAAGTGTCTGTGAGAATATCCGTGTGAGGATCAAATCCGGTCTGGTGGTGTACTTGACTCTTGAGAGGAGGAGTTAGGGCTGGAGTCTGAATGATGGAAGGAGGATGTGAATCCTAATAAAACCTAGTCCCTCTTTAGCGAGGGTGAGGTGCTTCAAAAATAAAATAAAAAGTTGTCACATGAAAAATATTCATGTCCACAAACGCCATTCCCATCCTTTTCTCCCCTTAGATTGGAGTTCAGATTTTGCGGGCACCCCATAATGTCTCACAGCACATCCCTACCATGTATTGAGATAACATTATCGGTTCTAATATTATCACTGGGAGATGCTTTCAATACACGGCAGGGCTGTACTGTGGAACGTTGTGGGGCGCCAATGTGAACTCCTTGTTATGTATAGAGTTTAGTGCTGTTTCTACCTGAAACATTTTGGGTTAATCGACACAAATTGTCATGCAGCTGTTATTTCAGGCTTTTATAAAGTCAAATTGGAAGCTCTTTGAAGTGACTCTCAAATGCAAACTGACAATACATATCTCGCACATTTGTATTTGTCAACCCCAATGTTTTTACGGATCTTGTCCCAACAGCCATTGCATGCAGCCATAGATTGGGAACATCTCCAGAGTCTTTCATTGCGAGACGTTTATGATGTACAGTTGCAATGGTTGTTGGGACCAGATCCGGACTTGATTTTTACCTAGCAAAAGAAAAAAAAAAAAAAAAGACGTTTCAGCAAAACACAGCAATGGTATGAAATACAATCTTGATTTCCCATACAAATATGAAAATTTTCAACCTTTTGAGGATCATGTCAATAGGCTGCATATGATAGACACCTTTTTTTTCTTGTGTGAAGTTCAAGTCAAAATAGTGCTGCGAACAGATTGAATCAAATGACCCATAAGTATTTAATTTACTTAATTAAGTAAATTAAAAAAAAAAAAAATATATATATATATATATACCAATAAGTAAAGTAAGCAATTAAACAAGTAAATTAAATTAATTAAGAAGTAAAGTTAATTAATTAAATTTAATAAACAAAGTTAATCGATCTAAATAAGTAAATTAAGCTAATTAAGCAAGGCTTTAAAAACCAACTTAAAATGGAACCACTTTGGTCACCATTTTCTAGGTCAATGGTTCAATTGCTTGGTCTGAATGGATCAATCCATGACATTTTGAAAAATAAAAAAAATATGGCACAAGAACCATTTACCAAATTGAACAGTTTAGCAGTTCAACAATTTGGGTCAGTAGTTCGACCCAAGAATTGGTCAATTGCTTAGTTCCATTTTATACCTTAGAGGAAGTCAAACCATTCGACCTAGGAGCCAATTAATTGCCCAATTCCATTTTATACTTGGCTTAGAATTTGTCAAAAAAAAAAAAAAAACATTGAGTTGGTTAACAAACCACCATCCCGAATGTTTGAACTACTAAATTGTTTGATCCAGTAAATGGTTTTTTAGTCATTTTTTATTTTAATTATATTTTACTTTTTATTTTTTAAAATGTCATAGGTTGATTCATTTAGACTAGACGACCAAACTGTTGACCTAGAAATTGGTGGCCAAAGTGGTTACGTTAGTGTTTTTGAACGGTCATTGACCCAAATAGTCAAACCATTCAGACTAGGAATCGTCTAGGCAATTAGTTTTGTTTCACCTTTAACATGGTGATTGGCCAAAAACTGTTGATTTGGTCAACAACCCACAAACCCAGGCAATCGAACCATTGACCCTTCTACAGTTTTTGTCCATTTTTATTTTAATCATTTTTTATATTTTTAGTTGGAACATGTCTATTCAGACCAAACAATTGAACCGTCAACCCAGAAATCGGTGGCTAGACGGTTCCAGTTCTAGGTCAGTTTTTAAGTTACCTTGCTTAATTGGCTTAATTTACTTATTTAGATTAATTAGCTTTGTTTTCTTAATTAATTTAATTTAATGATTTAATTGTTTAATTTACTTGATTATCTTAATTAATATATTTTATTTTAAGGGCTTTTTACAAAAACTAATAATAATATTTGATAAAATGGCAAAATCAGATATACGTTAAAAAAAATTGCAAAAACAGTGATAAGAACAAATGTTAATTTTTTTGGACCAAAATGTTCTTCCTTAAATTCCCTCATGAAATTCGAAAGCAACCACTTGTCATCACTATTCATTGTCTCCTTCGTTTGAATTTCAATATTCATTTTCTAAAAAAAAAAGGGTTTCTAGCATATAAGAACAATTTGAAGACGACATCAGGATTATCCTTCAATTCGCCACTTTACCTTTACATTTTCTAAAAAGCTCAAACAAAAGCAACATAACCGTTTCATATCTCTCAAAGAGGAGAGACGGTTCACACTTACCAGAGAAACGATTTGCTTGGTCATATTCCTTATTCCGTTCAGCCCGGGTTTAGTTTTAATTCAACCCTTTCTTCTTTCCTCTATCAACCTCTTCTTGCATCCAATATCAAAGACAACCCAGTTGTGAAATACCTACCTGGGCTAGAGAAAAAGGAAACAGAAGAGTTGGTCATAGCAAGATGCAAGACACGAACCTGAGTTTGCAAACTAAAATACCCCATTTGTGTCTACTTTAACACTTCCAAATTTCGAACCCCTTAATTAAAAACTACCGAAGTTTTCTTCCCTTCTTTCCATATCCCTTCAAGTTTAGGGTTTCTTTGTGATCCCATGTAGGCCCCTACTCTTTGTCTTCGGTCGGAATTTATATTTTTATTGATCGAATAGTTTATTCATCTCTTTAGTTCTGGGTTCACACTAAAAGCAACGAACAGGGTGAGTGATTTACAGAGAAGAGGAGTTCATCGAGTTAATCCTCTGGTTAGATTTTTTTTTCTTTTTTTTTTACTTTGATGAGAAATGACATCCTAATCAAGTGATCCATGGTGGGTTCTTCTAGTTTTTAATGATTCGATTTTACCATGTCTAGTTCTACATAATATTTGCTTTCTAACTCGGGATCTAACATTTCACTAGTAGCAATATTTCCCACATCAACTATAATCGGTATTGGTATCCAACATTTCTATCCAAGGTTGGACTTTTAGTGATGATTCAAAAACAAATAATACGCAATGGTTGCACAACATCTATCAAAATGGGTTACTAGCTTACCCTGAGATTGGGAGATTTGAACAGATAAAAGGACGATATATAGCTGAGAATGGAGCAGTGTTGCAGACGTTTTTTGAAATTAGGAACTTGGAAGGCAGTGAAAACTGAGAACAAAATGATAAAAAGATCAAAAAAAAAAAAACTCATTCATCCATGGATTCACAGACTGCTCCAATCTCGTAGAACAATGTCTGATGTTTTTTTCATCACCTATGACTGAACGAGGGACAGTGAGGGAACGAAAATGAGAGAGAGACGAACACAAATGATCATAAGTGGGTTTATTACTGAGGGTAATTTGGTCCACAAAAATAAAGTTTTCCCCAACTTACCGTTTTTGAAATTATCTTTGAAATATAACTGAATTTGTCAATAAGATGAACTTTGTCATTCTATATGTAAAATGTCCCTTTATTTAATTTAATTAATTAACTTTATTAAATAAATTAAAACTTTAGGGTCATTTAATTAATTAACTTTATTAATTAAGTAAATTAAAAATTAATTACACTGAAATAATTTACTTAATTAATTTTATTAAGGTGGCCCATTTTCAAACTTTAGGTTCAAAATGGCCTTTTTCAAACTTTTGGCTTACTAATGGCCTTTTTATTAATATCAAAATTGGCCTTTTCTATAAGGTTCAAGGGTTGTGAAATGAGTTCCACAAACATGAAAGGAGTAGCATATTTCTTTTCTTTTCTATTAAAAAGGGATTTCTTTTTTGCTCTTTTGATGGATATCGAAGTTGATTGTCAAGTAGATTCTTTTGCATGGTCGGCTGTTCATTTATACATGGACCTTCTTCTACTTCTGTCCAAGATGCATGATCAACAAGCTCGAGTTTGTTGATATATGTTTTCTCCGGGACTAGTTAACTCCCAACTTTCTTGTCTTCTCTTGAAGAGATGGGTACTGGAAAAAGAATAAAATGATCATGAGATCTTGATTCCTGATATCTTAGTTTGTCTACAAAGAATGGACTTATCAACTCCCCCACATCATCAAACTCTCCATTTCAATGTGCTTTTTTTGGTGAAGTCCTTCTAGAGTTACAGAAGGCTGATCAATGTTTCAGCTCTGATGAATTGCTGGAGGATGATCTGCAAGTTGCTACCCATTATTCCTAAATTTAGTCAAAAGACACAGATACATAATATAACAAACTTGTTTTTTTCTATATGCCACATTCTGGTAATAACTGCACTTGGAAAAGATGAACTGATGCACTAAAAAAAAAAACTGAGAGAGAGAGAGAGGGAGTATGAAAGAGTGAAAAAGAAAATTACAAAATGGATTGTCCTCCATGCACGTGGTCTCCATACAGCCTCTGTCTTCTTGTCACCTATCCAAATTCCAAAAAGAGGGAAAATTATTGAGGAGAGCATCAGTATCTGCTTAGTTGAATCTCACAAGGAGACAAGTATACTGGTGGAGCTTCTGGTCTAGTAAGACTGTTACCATCTTACCAATGGGGTTTTAGTGTTTTACTTTATTGGGTTGAATCATTGTGCGGTCATAATTCATAAAAAGGTCCCTTTCTATTCTTACCTTATTGATTATTGTATTCCCCAAATATCCTCGATTCCACCTCTTTCGACAGATATAGGAGGAAGCAGCTGCCTGGGTAGATGAATGACAGAGAACCTAAAACTTTTAGAAACGATTGTCTGAGTTGATGGTTATCCTCAACACGTCCATAGTTGTCACTTGCAATGAGTAAAGATGCACGACTTCATCTAACATAATCCAAACGCATTACCGTCTCTATCACCATTTTATTCTCGCATTTTCTTTGGTAAGTAAAACAGAGCTAGACGGGGGGTTGTGTAAATAGACAGTTGAAAAGCAAGCACGTCTCTACAATGAATTGTGACCAGAAAAAGAAACTGGTGGATACAATTGCTCGAGTACCTAACATAAACTAATTACAGTCCAGCAGAAGGGACGTCCGGCGTCCCTTCACATCAACACAGTAATGAGTTGTCTATATTTATCGACCATGGAGAGTTTGAGTTTCTCACACAATCTACGCTTTAACTCTGTCAGTCCTCCATGCGGAATATTTACAATGAGATGATCAAACTTACATGACGCTCCACATGTAGCATCAAGCTGGGTGGGTTGAGTAGTGCTCACTGAGTGTAGTGTGGTTACAACTTACAAGGGTATGCTTACAAGATCCAGAGTCCTCGAATTTTTTTTTTCTATCAAACCAAACACAGCCATACAAATAATTTAACCCGGTGCTAGAAATTCTGCTTAAACACCTGTCGGTTTTCACTTTTTAGGGCCCCGCCCAAAAAAAAATTTGGAAAATGTACTCTACAGCTCACTGCAGAATTCTGAATTATAGCCCCTATAGTCTATTAATAACCCCCACCTCCTTATAAATTGCATCATATCCGTGGATTTAGCATCAATCCACGGTCAGGATTCTCCCCTGTACGATGGGACTAAAGAATTTTGAGCTGGGTTGATCAGTGTTCTCTTAAAAAACTTTGCTCCCTCGTAAAAAATATATACTTGCCCTTTTTTACAGTGGATAACTGAGACTTAGTCACGCCTTTTGTTTTGTTGAAAATATTTTAATGTTAAATGAGGTGGTTTGAACATCCATACTATAGATAAGACCTGAATTCCCCAGAATAGATTTCTGTCTTCCTACAACCAGCACCTACCCTATAATCAAGGACTGGTCTGGACAATCACATTTTGCACCATTAATGACGAAACAATTGATCAAAAGTATGGATTTATTGATTCTCAAAGTACATTAAGTATGAACGCAGCAATTTAATTTTCACTATGAATCTGCCAAGACATATATCAGTCACGCCCCCTTCCCCTCAAAAAGGAATATTTATACGCCCTCCATATGATTTGCTAAACCATACCCACTATTACCTACACTTTCGGTCAGTCTCCGACGCGTATTCAGTTATATAATGTATGTATAAATACATCTGCTATGCTTCTATAAATAAAAACAAAGACGTGTACAACGACTATATGTAATCAAATCAAAGAGGAATACACCAATGGCCCCTAATTGTACGAATCACTGACGTGTTCACTCTTAATTGGTTACAGAGTCCAATGTAAATTAGGTAATGCCTTCGACCCGACCCGGCCCTCTAAATGAAAATGTACAAAGTATGGAAATCCATGCCTTGCGAATACCACTTATCCCAAGGCGTACATTATTAAATATTAACCAATGGAATTTCAATCAAAATATTAACCATTGCTAAAAGGCGTACATTTTAGCAAAAACCCCACTGACGCTGAGCTGAGGGCTGCTCGTCAATATGTTTTTGTTTTTGAGAAACAAAAATACTGAACCCGATTGGAAGTAGTCGGGTCATACAACAACCTCCAAACATGCCAAGTCTATTTTGCAAAATATGAATCATGAAGGCACACAATGAAATATACTGCTAACTTAGGGTAAAAGGTAGTTTGGGCTTCATCTTTCGGACCAACTGTTAGATTCTATCATGTGCTACTGCAAGGCCTAATCCAACACAAACTCACCTCATTCTTGTTCGTGTATGTCTCTTTGCCTACTTGGTACTTAACAGGAGATAGTCAATATATAAAGCGATGTGAATACAACATCTAAGAGAGAAATAATCAGAAAATCATAAATTCTTCCTTATTTTTTATTTGTACAAAATGATTATCTCAATTGTGTAAATCCTCTAATAATGTACTTCACCTTCTCATCAACACGTAAAGTTGTTGTAACTTGTAAGCTAGATGTTTGAACCTCGTTCTCAAGACCTGATCCAACTGAAAATTGTATCTGCTCCTATGAACTTCACATTCTCCTAGCCTATCTTTCCTGCCGCTTGGATAGTAGATAGAATCGGACGGAGCGCCCCCGCCCCCAAAACCCCCAAAAGACCAAAAACAGAACCCAAAAGAAACTGAAAAAAAAGGAAGCTACATTTATCTCGTATGCAGCTAAGGTTAGATATAAGTTCTGGTTGAGCCATCTGAGATCCCTAACATGAGCAAACACCCAGACCTGACAAAGATGTGCAATCAGCTGAGGTACTACTCTGCATTTGCCTTCTTTAAGCTTGCCATGTATGTCATATAGATTGTCCATAGATAGGAAAATGAATTGCTTATTAATGGCTGCCAAAACAGAAATTCCAAGATAACAAACATAAATGATCTACCATCTCACCATCAAGATAAATAAAATCATAAGCATGGTATATCGTTCATGTGGGACATGGATCACGCTACAATGAACTACCAACAAGGTCTCCTTGACAGAAACCACCCTGGATGGAGATTTTATTTACCTAATTATTTTTTGGTCAGGAAACCTATGTTCAAGGAAAGAACGCACAATGAGATGGTTAAAATAAACTTTTTGGCTAGAAAGTATCCCAGATAGTAGGGGTGTCAATGGACCGGTTTTGGGTTGGACTCCATCCAAATCAAAATCCATTTGGACGGATTGGATGACCAATAAGACATTGAATTTGGATGGACTGGACAAACCAATATGACATATTGGATTGGACCTGGTCCATCCATAATGAATTTATATTGGATTGARYYWATATMTRRTCCATTGWTAGAAGATAAGAACATAGGTGTCAATGGACCAGGTTTGAGTTGAAACTAATCTAAATTAACAGGAATTTGAACAGATTAGACAGTCTCTGGGCTGGTCCAAAATGGTCCGAAATATTCATTGGACTGGATTGGACTAGGTCCATTTGTAATGGACTCACATTGGACTGGACCAGATTGGACCAAATCCAGTCCAATTACACCCCTACCAGATAGAACCAATTTCAGTGTAAATATTCCATCACCATCCATCCCAACAAAGAATTATTTTGACAACAATCTCAAACATACCTGTAGGTGGACAGGAATGAATTTAAATGTGACAAAGTCGCACATGGGCCAGTACATAAGACCATTTTTCAGTGTTGGAAGCAAGTCTCGCTTCAATCTGGCTACAATCTCAGCACCATTTTCACCTGAGTTTCACATCCATGGCATCACTTAGAAACAAGAATTAGGCTAATTTCTTATACATGTCAAGATATACTTGTATAGAGAACAATTATGAGCGCTAATCAATCAATGATTTAATAATGGAAGTAGACAACAATAGGTACTGAAGAAACTGAAATAAAGTACATATATTCGTTCATGAAGATATACAGCATTACGGGAAACTAGAACCTAGAAGTACCACTTTCGAATGCCTGTTTTTATCACTTGAATCATGTAATTTTTGTATTTGGGCATGCCTCTTTTATCTAATATGTTTTAGCTTAAAAAAGTAAACAAATAACAGACCTGAACCATGTCAAAATGGGTTGAAAATTAAGTAAAGGTGACAAGATGAACAGGCGCCTCTTCTAAAATGAATACAGGAAACTGAAAATGGGGCCTGAAGAAAAACTTGAATTTTAGGGTCCTCTTCCTAGTTTCCATAATATATTTCAGAGGGGCTTCAATAAGCAAATAACGTACTTGTCTTTGGATTGCTGCTTATTTGGATCATTCATATATCTTTACATTGTAGCATTATAATCTTACCATGCAAGCACCCTTAGCTAAGCCCTTATTTAATCATGTCAGGATAAGAACACCTATTCTGATTTTTTTTATCTCTTCTCCTTTATTATCTTACCATGCTGCCGATTCACTTGCTAAATAAGTGGTGGGAAGGAATGATTTATTTTGGGCTGTACAGTAATCTTTCTTTTGGGGAGAGCTAAGAGTTTTACCCCTCTCCCTTGTACTAAATTCTTATTTTAATAAAACCGATTCTGTTATTGATAAAAAATATATCTTCTCCTTTATTTCTTGGCAAAATTTATTATTTCATCCAACTTATGTGTTGGATCAATAAGTGGTTGATTTTTTTTTTGTACTAGCATCATAAAACTGTTTCAGATTTTTAGAAGAGCTTGCTCCATGGTATCTCCTCTCACTTTTTCAGTAATTACCTACCTTTCCTTTTCTTCTATTGTTTCTATATTAGTTTGTTGTTTTTATCTAATATAGCAACTACACTTCTTTTTCCTTTGTAAGGCTTTCTTTTAATTTCTCATTTCCATAATCTGTCCAATAATATTATCATTTAGTAGAATCAGGTCATTCCACCTATCATCTTAATTCTACATATTTCTTCCAATTCATTGTTTCAATCCTAAAGTCTCATATCCTACTACATAGAAACCATGGTTTCAAATGTCGCGACATTTCGCTAATGTCGCCCAACATATGTCAATGTCGAGGCTCATCGACATGAAAATGGATGGTAGTATAAAAATTACATTATTTCGGTCGACATTTCCTATATTTCGGAAATTTCGACCAAATCGGTCCAAATAACCAAAAAAAAAGATAGTTTTTCCTATTATGTCGACAAGATGTCAACTAATGTACATTAATAATATAATATATTAGTATATTATATTAATATAATACAGTATATTAATATAAATTATTCCATTAATAATTTCTATTTAATATTTCAAATAAAATATTTATAAAAAAGAATTAACAAAAAATTAACTACTTTATAATATAAAACATAAAATATTTTTCAAGTAATAAAATATTAACTAGTTAGTATGTTCAACACTTCAATCGCTGGGAGGTTTTTCAGCGAGGGAAAGTAGTATGGAGGAAGGGAGGTTTCAGCAGACTGAGGCTCAAAGAAGATCTCCAAGGGTGGAAGCAAAGCAGTTCCTATTTGAAAGTTACGGGGTGAAAGGGAAGAAAGCTTTAAGAGAAATTAATATGGCCATGGTGTTGCTGGTAGGGGAAGAAGCATTGGTGTGGTTTCAGACTTTCATCGAAGATGCTGTTCAGGTGAGTAGGAAGTCTGAATACAAAGATTCAATTAAGATTAATGGCAGGAGGTATATAGAAGAAAGAAGGGAGAATCCTAAAGGAAGGTACGTGGTGCTTATGGAATTCTTTGGGGAAGGAAAAAAGGCTGGGAAGAAGTTTCAGGGATTTTGAAGGACTTCATTACATGGGAGAAAGCTAGAGAAGAAAGTAGAAGGGAGCTAGTAGAAGAAACACAGGGGGTTTATGGAGACTCTACAGTGAGGGAGAAGAAGGAACTGCCAGTAGAGGTAACAGAAATGCAGCTCATGGCTCAAGCAGCAAAGGACTGTAGAATGGTTTRCARCATGCACAAGAATGACTGGGAGAAGAAATTTATTGTTACCTTAACAGCCCCACCGAAGGACTGGAAGAGAATTGCTGAAGAGTTACTAAAGAAGCTGAAGTTAAACAGTACGGTTATTTTAACCCCCTTTGAAAAGTGTTAACTGTGTAAGGCCCTTCTAGAAGTAGTAGAAGAGAAAATGGAACTCCAGGCTATGTGTTGTCAATTGGAGTCAACCTATGTGACTGTCTCAAAATGGACTCCTCATTATAACTCTAAGGATCTGCATGCGAGGGACAAAGTAATTGTTCAAATCTTGGGGCTACCGTTTTACCTATGGATTTCAGATGTTTTTGTCTCAATAGCTACTCTGTAAAACAATAGAGGGTTTTTTTGTTAAAGACCTCCACTCAGCTGCAGTATGTTTGAGTAATGTAAACTTAGAAGATATCCCACGTTCAGTAAAGGTACTGGTTGATGGAATCTTTTATTCAGCCTGGCTAGTAACAGCCATTGAAGCTGAGCTTTGGAGGGAGGGAAGAAGGGAAGAAGATGAGAAGGTAGAAGAAGAATGGCTACGTGGAAGAAGTCAAGTGGATGCAGAAAAGGAGAAAGGAAATTACACTGAAATGGCAAGGCAAAATCTGGGGAGAGGAAAAGGTGAATTAAAAAAAGAAGAGGTTTGTAAGGCAAGGAAAGAAAGGGATGAGACACACGGCTGGTCTTATGCTGAGGTGCTGACCAATGGACCTAGACGTGTGAATCAGTGCCAATTTCAAATTTCAAAAGAAGGGATGGGTCAGCCAGCTGGTGGATCAGATTTGAACAGAACTGAGCCATTAGGGTCAAAGGCTATTAACCCATCACGTGGCACTTTAAGTTATCACGTGATGGGTAATAAGAAAGATGGGCCTGGGCTGGTGAAACAGGAACTGGGTAACTTAAAACTTAATTTGGGCCCAGTTGTTGGGCCTCAAAGGGCAGCAGCACATGACAACTTAAAAGGGCACGTGAGTCAGAAGGAAAGCCCTTTAATGGACGATAATATTGGTCCAGCTTCTTCCCCTTCAATCAAATCAGTGACAAAAGGAAACCGAAAATACCAGACAGTATTCGGCAATGATCTGGGTACAGAGTAAAGGGAAAACTCTGGTTTCCCCTGAAAAGCGAAACCCAAAACTTAATAGATGTGGTGGTAAAGGTAAGGAGAAGGTGCAGAAACCAGATTCAGAATTTGAAGAGAGTTCCAGCGAGTACGAGTCAGACTTGAGTGAATACTCAAGCTTGGGCAGTATAGATCAAACAGTGCGGATTGATATGAATGAAGCAGAGAGTTTCAACACTGAAGTACTGTTCTTGGGAGAAGAAAAGGAAAAGTCGACCAATACAAAAGAAACAAAGGAATTTAGGCGGGCAGTACATGCAGTCGAAGTTGAGCAGATGACACCTTCCCCTGAATTAGAGAGACTACCTCCTGTGTTCCAGCAAGAACAGGATGCACAGGAAGTGAGACAAGAGGAAACTTTGAAGATGAGTATGAAGGCAATAGAGAGGGGTGCACTTGAAAAGGTTTTAGGCGCAACCAGAATTGTTAATGATCCCACTCTCACTCAACACAGGCAAATTTCAGGGGCTGATTCTGATTTTCTGGGCTCCAAACAAGACTTCCCAACCACACTTGTCTTCGATCCTCATCCAATGTCTCCAAGTAAGTGTGTCCGTTCAGTTTTGGCTACTGATTTGTGTGCTCTGCCTAAAACAGGTACACCAGCTAACCAGCCTGATTGGTTAAGGAGAAAGGGTAGAGATGAGACTGTGAGATTAGAAGAGGGAGAGGTAGAAGATAAGGGGGAGGGTGTGCAAGAAAAGGGTGACCCAACCTTAAGGGAGAATACAGAAGATAAAGGAATTCAGAAGACAAAGAAGCTTTCTAGAAAGAATGAAGAAAAAAACAAAAAGCGGAAGAAGAAAAAGACAGAAGTGGAAAGGTTGATATCAAATTTAGTGGGAGAGGAGATAGACGGAAGCAACAAATGTAGGGAGGAAAAATAAAAAGATGGTTCAAATTAAAAAGTGAAAACATGAAATTAATTAGTTGGAATGTAAGAGGTTTGGGGAGTGCAAGGAAAAGGAGTGTGATAAAAGACCCAATAAAAAGAGAGGATCCTGATGTGGTAATGCTGCAAGAGACAAAATTAATAAAATTGGATCAAAGGCTGATCAGTAGTTTGTGGAGAGCGAGAGGAATAAGATGGGTTGAAGCTCCATCTTGGGGGGCTTCAGGGGGTATAGTGATTTTGTGGAAGGATGAAGTGCTTGAAGCAAAGGAAGAATTGATGGGTAGGTATACTATATTAATTAATGTCTATGAACCAAATACTTATAGAGAGAGAAGTGATATGTGGGAGGAACTGTATGCAATTTGGGGTTTGTAGGAAGGTGCTTGGTGTTTGGGAGGGAACTTCAATGTGATAAGATTTTCCAATGAAACTTCTAATCCCAATCAGCCTATCACCACTAGTACGAGGAAATTTAATGAATTCATAGACTTGTGTGAATTGAAGGAGATTTCCCTGTTGCAATCCAATTTCACTTGGTCCAATTTTCAGAAAAACCCACTATGATCAAAGCTGGATAGATTTCTGTTCAATAGAGGAAGGGAAAATCATTGGGAAGGTTTGGTTTCCAGGGCATTGCCTAGAGTCACTTCAGATCACCACCCCATTAGATTAGGAACAGAAATCTTCTTACATGGCCTTGCTCCTTTCAAATTTGAAAACATGTGGTTGACGCATCCGGATTTTATTCGGAAAGTGGAGGATTGGTGGAAGGAGGAACTAAGAG